TTATCATTTGAGCTACCGTAGCGTTTTCCATTGCCTTCCCAACTTTCCCGGCTACATCATTTGTTTCGTAAAGGTTGCTATCTCTGACTGGTGTGTTGCCTACTAACTAGACTAGCACAGGTTTGAACTCTACAAGGCTCTGGGTACCTGTAGTTAGACATATCAGTGTTGCTTTGTTTAGAACCATGATGAGAAGCAGAGCGTTAAAGTTTCTGCCGAACGCCTGGTGTCTTGTTGGAACCTGGGCGGACAGTGCTGAATTGCCTTCAGTCACAGACAGTGGTAAGCAGCATTCCAAAATGAGGGAAAATCCTATCCAGTTACTGATGTGATTTCATCGCCATTCAAGTGTCCCATCTGATCTGATTATGCCAAAATTGAGTGCGCACTTCCGAAGCGATGGGAGTTTCGCATTTAGCAGTGAAACTGGCCGTCACCTTAAGGAAGGTTTGAATTGATATCACGATGTGAAGGAACCCTTGAGCCATGACACCATATTCCGGTATGGAAACGATTTGTATTAGACAGAATGAACCAGAGAAACCACCAGCGTATATAAGCTCGTGCTTAGCTACTGGCCTCTTGATTCACATCTAATATGCGATAATATTCCCGACAACAATCGCTAACAGCAATACGTCATCTCATATATATATATAAATATATGCTATGAACCAGCAATGCGGCTTGGGACCAAATAGAAAATTGGTCTGTTCCCATCCACAACTTGTGGGCAACCCCCTTCCCATCTTAGACTTTTGGTTACATGCGTACCATCCGACCGAATAACCCCGTATCTGAGGCAACCAGGTTCAGTAAACAAGCTCTTTATGTGTTTGTGCTAACTAAGGGGATCCAAGTGATCCTGTTTCGCCTCAGGCTGCTTCATCCTCTCCCCAATCAAATCACATGCCGACCCGACCCATAAACAACTGGATGCCCCTCCACACAGTTGCCAATACCACTCATAGTTGACAGTTGGGCCGGGGCTAATCCAATGTCACAAATGTAGCGAACTAGCTGTGCAGCGTTTTCTGTGCATCGGACAACTATGAAATGGAGAATGCTCCGCCTGATTGTTTGGCTGGTTTGCCAAGAGTAGGAGGACCGATGCGGAAGTATTGGGCCTGTATCATTTAAGTGATACATTCGTCTTCAATTGTATGATAAATATGTCGCATTATAGGTTGACCTCATGTGCTCGGCAAGTACTCATCTCGATCCTGGTGTAGTAGGGTTAGAGTGGCTGACAGTGCGGCGTGTTTGTGAGCGGATCATCACACGGGGCGAACTCGCGGCTGCACAGAACTTGTCTGGTGTGGGTACATGTGGGACCACATGCCACTCTCATCTTTGACCCCGCCCACTGGTGTCGCCGATAAATGGCACAGCATATCAAGGAAGTATCATTATCGGTTTTCATTCGGCGTCCTTATATCCCATGATCCAGAGATGGGACAAAGTAGAATCATTAGTAAGTCACCAGGTATGACTACTTATTTCTTACGAAATCACTGCGATCATCATGTGGCTACTACCATTCTGCTCATCAGAAGTGAACTTCTCGTTGATTGCGATGGTGTGTGACGATGTAGGAGAAAACCAGTGCTTTATATGAGGGATCAATCGTTTTAAATCCAGTGGGACTCTGTCAAACCAACTATCCGACGCGTTTCAATACGTTAAATGCCTGTCTAGCGAGATCCGTGGTCTAGTCAAAATATGGTTGGCTGCATCCGTTTCAAGTTTCACTCTACCCTGTCAGTGTATACAAAAGCAACTGTGTTATGCGTCCGTAGTGTGACAATAGGTGGCTTACACTTCACCACTCATTTGCTCCAAATCAAATGAACACCTGCTGGAATTAGACCATGAGGTACGACTGATTCAAATCCGGCCCCACTCTACTAGTCCGCAGAAATGCTTCCTGTTTTTCCAGCTTCACTGCCTAAAAGACATGACATGCATTGGTTCCACACTGGTGCACTCCGAGACTTCGGGGATCCCGTGGGCAGGCATTACGATCTATTATAGCTAGGACACCGGCGTTTGGTGGACGCAGGTCGAGAAGACAGTGGACAAATAAGCTACTTTTGCTAGACAGTTGGTAAGTTATATTCAGTTGTAACAACCTGTTTTCACCTGGTATGAAGTGAATAATATTGTCCTAGAACCACATAGAGATCCCGAGTTTGCTGTCAATGCCACAATTCAACTGACGGTCCAGTAGAGGTCCACGCTGCTGGACAATAAAGCATTTGGAAGCATTGGCGGGTGAACTACACTGTCCACTAGGCACAACACGCATGAGAGTCCCGGTTTTAAATTGGCCACAAGTAAACTAGGTTGGAAGGTCACCAGAATTCCCTCTCACACTTCGCGTATACCAGTCGTGAAACACATGTCCGATTCCTGTTAACCGAATACAAAACATGACTTTGTGATATATTGCTTTACCTACATAGTGTGCAGTAACCAAAGTTATTGGCATACATGGTTGGCGGCATCCGGTTTCGGATTTGCCTGTCACTATGCCAAGCCACAGGACGCCTGCGCTTGAAAAGTGACCGTGGGTGGCTTGCGCTGCACCACACACAGCGCTGCACCACACACCCCATATCCAGTGTAAACCCGAAGGAATAAGACCTGGAGGCATGTGGATGGGAGCCACGTTTCATCAACGGAGCCGGCCCACACTCCTTCACAGACAAACACAAGCACGCTGTATTTGGGGAATCAAGCGCACACAAGGCGGTGGCTGGACCGGAGTCCGCTCCACACTGAGTGCATGGAACCACTCTTCGAGCCTAGTACGACCACAAGGACCGTGCACCCCGTCCCCTCCAGCAACGACCAACTGTCTCCTGGAGCCAGTATGGACGAGGTAGTGGGTAATAGACAGGTAGGCACCTTGTCAACATGCACATCAAGCGCAGCCACACCTGGGATGTCAAACAACAGCCAATCATTCGAAATGCCGATATCGATTAAAGTAAACGCATATGACGACATAAATACTCGCTAAATGAGCATATACAGGAAATTGGTTATAAGTGAATCAGTGATAAGTACAAAATGTCCGAAAGAGTCTAAAAATACCACGCGATAAAATTACGCAAGTTTACCACAATTTGCGTGAGCGACGCGTGCAAGTGAGGAGATTATCAAATACGTAGAACAAACCAAATAACATGTAATGAATTTTATCCACATTAAAAAGACCTAGTTTAAGTGTAAGTTGGTTTAGCCCAGCTGCGGCGAAGAAGCATCATGATTGCAACACCAGCCTCAGCAAGGGGCACACATCAGCCTCAGCAAGGGGCACACATGGCATACATACATGGTAACGTATCCACACGGTGTGTATGAGCGACGCTTACGGTGATTCCACAGATAACTCTATTTTGGCAAATTAACTCTCTGACTTTACTCTACTCACTTGCATTTGTTGTGGAGGATTGGATTCCTTTCTCGTGATAAATCCAATTATAATTGCGTTCCAAATTCAGAAACGTTGATTCTTATTTTGCATGCTGAGTCCTACTCCACAGGAGTGAAGCCGAGATGTCAACATCAAAGCAGGTGTTCTATTGCCGATCAAATTTTACCGTACTGGTTACTTTTATCAGTTTTGTCATAGGAGAAGGCAGTATCATTGCGCACTCGGCTTACAAATGTGTACTCTGAACAAACAGAAAATGTAAGTTTTGGTAGTCCTGTGCAGCCCAGTTCCCGCCTTGGATATGGTTACTGTTAGGGAGATCACGTGGGTCAGCCAGACAGACAACATGTGAAAATCGATCTATTTCCAACCAGAGTATTTGCACGTCAGCTCGAAACTTCAAGCCAACCATACGGCACGTGCGAATCGATTGGTTTCGAGCAAGTGTGGGATGCACATGAGTGAAGTGGACATAGTGTTACGGACACTTGGCGGTTACTTCAGTTTGTGCGAGTAAGCGTTTTCAAGCAGTGTCACTTCTGTCTTTTTACTACTCAGCGAGAGTTATAACAGTCTGGCGACGGAGATGCTTGACCAGAGTGTCATCATGCAAATGTTACCAAATCAGCAACATCAATTGGAGCAACAGCAGAAATTATTTGCGTTGTTTGAACGAAATTTTTCAGCACACAAATCAGAGATTTCGTAGGTCAGAAGCGATATTCAATTCAATTGCATTGGCAATGGAATTGAAGAATTCAGTTACGACTCAGACAGGGGCGATCCAATTTAACTTGGTACAAGAGATATGAGGACATTTTTATTGTTACTGTTACAGCATTGGATGAATCAGTAAAAGTACGGTTTTTGATGCAAATATGCAAAATTACTATCAAAATGGACTTTACCTGTGACATGTCCTTGCACGAGTTAACTACCAAATACCTCATAATGATAAGTCTAAAACGTGATTCACCAATGTTACAGTCAAACAACAGTTATTCAGATTTGACTTCTATCGATAAAATTACCAAATCAAACGTAGAACAGAACAGATTCCCAAAGAGAAGAGGCTGGTTGCAGCGACGACGAACACCATTCTGGAATTTTGGCGCCTGGCACATTCCGCGTTTCTGTGAATTTCGATTTCGTAAATGTCAAGATTGCGATAAATTAGATAACAGGGGGAGACTGTGTTCGTTTGTTCAAGCAGCACCCTATCAACCCGATTCAGAAGGCAGTCAAATCTGGTGCCCACTACATGCAGTCTTCGTGGAAGTTATGGCCGAAATTGCAGCACGTTATTATTAAGAATCTAGCAGTTACCTTAAAAGTAAGCACTGCTTCCGGCATGGCGATCATTTCATCTTCGGCTTGGCAAAGCATTGGAGAACCGGAGTATTGCGTTACGACAGGTATTGCTTGGAACACTTCTAGCAAGCCAATCCGCTTCTGGGACAACTAAATTGTGAGTTCACATTTTTAAACGATTAGTGCAGACGAACATGTTACATTGCAACAGAAAATGAACTAAATTTATTAGGCATTGTATGGATAGATGTTACAATTATGGTCTGTTCCAATCAGCTCAATTTGTGATTCCCAAACTCAGAGTATGCGAAATGTGTCTTCAAACTATGTCACAACTGTTGATACAAAAGTAAAAAATGACATTTTGGTAAACTTACAGGAAAAGTGTGCTAGTGATTTCAAGCAAGCACTTGGATTGTGCACCAAAATTCAGGTTTCTTTGTTTGTCGCACCTGAAGTAAAGCCAGCAACCCGTCCTAAAAGGCCAGTACTCCACTCAGCCGTCCCATTGCTTGACGCAGGACTGAATCGCTTGAAGAAATTGGGCATGCTAACCAATGCTAATTACTCAGCCTGGGCTACGCCCATTGTGGTAGTTCAAATGGTTAGTGGCACAGTCAGGATTTGTGGCGATTTTTCAACTGGACTAAATATTGCACTTCAGACTCATCAATGCACATTACCAATTCCGATTGATTCGTTTGCGTAGTTAAATGGTGGCAACACATTTTCAAATTTGACCTTCCTAATGCTTATTTACAAGTCGAAGTTGATGAGGAATAAAGATACTTTTTCACCAATAATGCTCATAAGGGTATATAACAATACAACAGACTGCCGTTTGGAATTAGCCGTGCTCCGGCAATTTTTCAACAAGTAATGGACACAATGCTAAACGGGTTGCCTTTTGCGATGGCTCACATAGATGACATAATAATGATAAGCGTTTCAGTTGAGCTACATCAAGCACACCTGAATAAAGTGTTTGACAAGATCAGGAGTTTCGGATTTACTCTGCGAATCGACAAATGTGCGTCCGTTATTTCCCGAATTTCGTACCTTGGTTTAATCAACAATGCCAGTGGTTGTCGCCCTGATCCATCAAAATTATGACAACCTTACAACTACAAACTCCAAAGGAAAGGAAGACACTCCAGTCGCTTTTGGGACTAGTGAACTATTACAATAACCTTGTTGCCAATATGCACTCGCTACGGGTGCCATTAAATGTACTTATGAGGAGTAATGCAAAATGGATATTGTCCTAAGCTTGTCAGTCGGCATTTGATGAACTTAAGCACATTTTGACTTCTGATCATGTACTTACATACTATGGCCCGAAACTACACCTCATCGTTGCTGCCGATGCTTCAGAGTACGGGACTGGAACAGAACCATTGCAGCGATTTCTGGATGGCAAGCAAAAACGGTCAGGCGGGTTTCACGCATGCTAACAACAGAACGAAGCTACAGCCAAGGTGAAATAGGAGGTTTAGCAATTGTGCTTGTAGTCAACAGGTTCTATAAGATGTATGGTCAGAAATTTACGTACTGCACTGATCAGATGGCCCTGCTGTCTCTATGTTGTATTAAGGAACAAATTCCTATTCACACCGCAGATTGCTTGCAAAGTTGAGCAACAACACCTCTCGGATATGATTTTACCATTAAACACATCCGTTCGGAATGCTTTGGCCATGTTGACGCCTTATCGCGCCTGACTGTTAACAGATCAAATTCACATCCACTTGAAGTTGCTGTCATTAGATTAATTGAAGTTGATGCTGATCTAAAATCCGTCTTTGAAAAATCAATACGGAGGTTAACAGTTAAGTAGCATGACATTTGTGAGTCTACGCTATCCGATAGCTGTTTACAACGAGTCATTTTTTAAAATCTTTTCGACGGTTAGTCAAGAATTCCATCAGACGCCGAAATTAAACCATTTTTTGCGTGGAGATGCTCTGACAATGGTGAAAGACTGTTTAATACTGGCAGGTCGCATTGTGATCCCCAAAAATCTGAGTAAAAATGACTCAAATGCTGCACGCCAGATACATGGGAATTAAACGAATGAATTTACTTGCCAGATGTTATGCTTATTGGCCAAATATTGCCAAGGGTCTTGAAGGCGTTGTTCATACTTGTGCCAAATGTGCACGGGCTGCAAAGGCTCCCAGTAAAGTTGACCTTCATCCGGTATGCGGATTCATGTGGATTATGCAGGCCCACTGGACAATCAATATTTTCTGGTTATGGTTGATTCATATTTAAAATGGCCAGAAATAGTTCGTGTTACTCAGCCAACGACAGTTTCAACAATGGCAGTTCTTCGTCGTTATTTAATAGTTCAATAGTTCAATAGTGTATGATGGGATAAAAAGCATTGGCTTTACCCATCGGATGGTAAATGCAAAATAGATAAAAATCATTAGATTTCGCCATGGAACTGAAATGCCAATAGTCTAAACCTAGTACATCACACCACAATGTGTTGTTTGTCACTCAGATGAATGTCTAACAATTGTTTGAAGGCTGTAATGTTCGGAGCGTTTACCACATGCGTTGGCAAGTCATTCCATTGTGAACAGATTCTAAGAGAGTAAAAATATTTTCTACAATCTAATCGGGAGTGTTGGATTATCAGCTTGAGTTTATGACCTCTCGATCGCTTATATGAGGCTAGGGTGAGCAGCGATTTGCACGGGTGATCGCTTTCCGTTAATATCCGGTATGCGAGAATGAGATCTCCGCGTAGTCGTCGGTATTCGGAGGAAAACATTCCGATTAAACTGAGACGCACTTCATAATGGAGACCAGATAATCCGCGTGTTGCCTTCGTAGCTCTTCGTTGGGGCTGCTCTAAGAGATGAATGTCCCGTTTTAACCATGGACACCAAGCCTGGACGGCATATTCGACGTGGGGACGGATATAGGAGTTGACAAGCATGGGTACCAACCGTCGTTCAAAAACACTAAAAGCTCGCCTCAAAAGTCTCAAGTTCATGTTCGCCACGTTCGCTGCCTTGGAACATTGGAGCGAATTCCCCAGACTTTCTTGCACAATGATACCTAAGTCTTTTTCTGTGGTCACGCGCCGTAAAATGTACTGCCCCAAGAGGTACGTGTCGGCAAGATTGCTGCGCAATGACAGTAGGTGACACTTGGCAAGATTCAGGGGGAGGTGATTTATATCTGCCCATCTGTTGATTCTATCCAAATCATTCTGGAGGAGGGCACAGTCTGATGTTGAGCGAATAACTCTCCAGATTTTTGCGTCATCTGCAAAAATTTGCATCGTGGATTGAATATTATCCGGGAGGTCGTTAATGTAGACCAGAAAAAGGAGGGGACCAAGGACGGATCCTTGAGGAACACCGCTGCAGATGCAGAGGGTTTCCGAGAGGGCATCGTCGATTCTGACCTTGATCGTTCTGTCATGCAAATATCCTGCTAGCCAGGTGAGTAGGGAACCATGGATACCGTAGGCACAAAGCTTATGAAGCAGAGCTAAGTGATTGACTTTGTCGAATGCCTTCGAAAAGTCTAGGTAAATCACATCAAGGGGGATCCTTCATCAAGCGCTTGGGTCCATGAATCCCGAGCACAGTTTGGCTCCTCAGAAACACTCGTCACTGATAATGGTCCACAACTCACATCGAACGAGTTCAACCGACTTTGTCAATCCATGGGCGTACAACATATACGCAGTTTCATTGATCATACCCAGTCCAATGGACAGGCTGAGAGATTTGTGGATACATTCAAACTTGCGCTGTTTAAACTTAAAGGGGAGTGAGCCATTGCTGCAAAATTGGTATTCTTACGCATGTATTGATCAGCCTCAAATTCTATTCGTCCAAATCAATAATCACCGTCGGAACCTTTTATTGGTCGACGTTTACGCACACCGTTAGTTGCCATGGTTTCATCAACGAAGTCTAATGAGGGTGACCAGAAAATGGCAAACCAGTTCGATCGCAAGTACGATGCTCGCTTAAGGTATTTTCATCCCGGTGACCCAGTCCTTCTGTACAATTTCAGGAAGGCACGTAAACCTTAGATTCCCGGAATTGTCAAAGAAAGAAAAGGAAATCTCCTGTATGAAGTGGAATGTCAAAATCGACTGAGTACACGTCATATGGACTCTTCGCAGAAAGTGCTAGCCAATAACATCTGGCGAGTACAGCTCCGCAAGCAAAACTACGGCCGTCATTTTGAACATCTACTTCCTTGATTTTTTCTCTTGAAACATACCTCATGTATATAAATATATAATGCATAACGATTGACTTCACTAGTACATGAATGCGATGAGTACTGGTTGGAATACTTCAGCGGGCTTGAATGAACGTTACGAGAAAATAGAACGAGATGGGAACGTGAGCAGTGCGCGATCGCTCAATTGCCCGACAGGGCTCAGGCGTCGCTGTTGATGTTTACTTTAAAGTTGACGGTGGTGGACGAAACAGTTGAAGCTCAGTAGGCTGCGTTAGGCGGTTCTTGCAAGGCAGATCCATGTACTTCCGTTGCCCATATGACGTTAACCTCGTATGTGCCAAGTAACAATGACGCTTATCGCCGTTCCTCTGTCTATCATGATTATCCAATGGTAAGAGAACTGTCGCTGTCAAATTAGTTAGGAGCTACAAGAAAGAGATATTTTCACCACCGATCATCGTTGGCTACTTCGGCACTTCGCTTCAGCTGTTATAGCTTTAATATGGCGCACTTGCTCATTATGCACAAAAGGTGCAACATTATCTTAAGGAGGTGTTCGGTCACCGGTGGATCGACCGCAGAGGTCCAAAGTACCGGTCTGCTCGGTCACTATATTTGAACCTCTTACATTTCTTCCTGAGGTTATTTGAAAAGAAGTTACAAGAAAATGCTTATTTCACTGGAACAACTGAAAGACATGAATATTGCGCCATAAACATGGAAACTTTGTAACAAGTTATAGTCCATGGTCACAGGCGATTTCCCCACTACAATCAGAACGCCGTCGGGCCCCTTGAGCATCATCGTTGTTGACGGAGATAACACCGTTTTATCTTATTCACGTTAATATACGTATTCACCATTAGCACTGATTTCTGGACTAAATTGCTATACGGGCAAATGGTGCCGAATGTGCGTCGGGCCAGAACACAATCCACGAGCAAAGCTGATTCGACAGCGCTTAGACTGACCACTTCTATGAAATTTGGCTCATAATGGTAATACTTATTTTTCATGATTATGGCTAAAGCATACGCGGAAGATGTAAACGAGATGGTGATGTAAGAATATGCTACGCGGTTTCGTATTTGCATTCTGTTCATCGACGTAAGAATCTGGCGTGGGATGAGTGTTTCCGACCGATAACATACCGGTCACAAAAATAGGAAAGAAAGATGGTCCAACAGCTTTTCAATGAGAATACAGACCGTAAAACTGTGGCTTATCGATCCTTTTGAATTTGATATTCGGAGTTTGCAGCGTAATGCGTGAGAAAACTTAGCACAGGGATAAGGGGCTTGCAATGGGAACCCAACTGCGTGTGCTGTGGTCCCACGATTTGTCGTTCATATTTTCGGGCCAATGAGCTTCGCGCTTTGTGCAATACGTGATTCTCAGTGTCCGCTAGGATTATATAGTGCCTAGAAGTGCAGCTTCGCGGTTCCGTGCTAATGGAAAATGGCCTCATCAGTGAAATGTTGGTATGAACGCTTATGATCCCGCCAGATACAAATTGGGCAGCA